TCCACCCCTCCCGCCACCCCCCCTCCCAGCGCGCCCTCACCCCGCAATACCCAAAAACAGAGAGGGGGGGAAAAAATAGAGCAAAAGTCACCACCAAAATCTCACAAAGGCCCAGCCCTGGGCGCCTTCGAAGAACAGCGAGCGGAAAGCGGAGCACGAGGGACGCACCACCCGCCCCGCTCACAGTGAAAGTCTGTGAGGGTTTCGGTGCAACTCCGACCGCCTTCAGGGGAGGTTTGGCCTCTCCCAAAGGAATTTCAGGGCACCCAAACCCCTTCTGGTTTGTACAGGGTGGCAAATTTCCCTGAGGATGCCAGGAGAGGGATGTGGAACTTCAGAGAGCCCATGGCAGGGATGTGGTGCTTGAGGTTTCTGGGAGAGGGATGTGGTCCCTGAAGATGCTGGGAGAGGGATCACAGAATCACAGAGTCCTAGAAAAGCTTGGGTTGGAAGGGACCTTTAAAGGCCATCCAGTCCAATCCCTCTGCAATGAGCAGGGACAGCAACCAGATCAGGATGCAGCTTGTGGAGATGCCAGGAGAGGGATGTAGTCCCTGGAAATGCCAGGAGAGGGATTTTCAGAGAGGGATCGTAGAATCACAGAACAGTTTGGATTGGAAAGGATCTTTAAAGGTCTAATGGGACATCTTCAACCGGCTCAGGATGCAGCCCTTGGAGATGCCAGGAGGTGAATGCCATGAGAGAGATGCAGCATGGCAGAAGAAGGAAGCCAGGAGAGGAATGCAATCCCTGGGGATGCAGGGAGAAGAATGCCAGGAGGTGGATGCAGTCTCTGAGGATGCAGGGAGAAGGATGCCAGGAGAGGGATGTGGCCTCTGGAGGTGCCAGGAGAAGGATGCCAGGAGAGGGATGAGGCTTCTGGAGATTCCAACTGACACAAACATGCTCTTCCCTGGAGCGGGGATGCAACGATGGGACGCTGAGATGCTTCCCATCACTGACAGAACCCTTCTCACGGTGTCCCAGGGAGGAAAGCTCCCCTTTCACCACTGCCTCTCCAAAAATCCTCATCTCAGTCACTTAAAGCCATGTTTGAGCAGCTCCAATTACTCTTGGAGATACAAAGCAGCTCCAAGAGGAGCTGGGATGGGGATGGAGATCGCAACACTGGCACGTCCCCCATTCTGTGCTGGAACAGCTGCCACCCAGAGCGGCAGGCACAGAAAATCGGGTGCAGGACCTGCTGGCTCAGGAGGTGGCAGTTCTGAGAAATCAGATTCAGGTGAAAGGGGAAAAAAAGAAAGAGAAAAGAAAAAAAAAAAAAGAGAAAAAAATTAAGAGAAAAAAAAAAGGAAGTCAGAGCAGTCTCACACTGAGCAGAGATAAAAATACTGCTCCTCCCGCAGCCACGGCAAAGACGGACGAGCCGAGACACCGTGGGCTTTCACCGGAAAGAGTCTTCCCAGCTCATCCCAGCGTGCCATCAATTTATGGGATGCACTGGATCTCATTAAAACACTATAAAGAAACCAGCACAAATGCAAATCCCATTTCCCTTCCCCTTCCTGTAAAAACATCTGGTCAACAGAAACGGCTTGGGACATTTCCGTTGCGAATCACGGTTTTCATGGAGCTTGGGATTTGGCCACGCACAAGGTATTTGGGGCTGGGGCTCAGCTGAGGAGCAGGGCAGTCCCAAAACACACAAACTTGGGTTTTTCCAGCTTTGGCTAGAATTTATGAGGGTGAAGAGACCTCAGGGCTGCCCAGTTCTACAATTTATACAGGGATAAATGGCATGGGAAGGGAGAAAGCTCGTAGTGCCTCCAAGGAAAGGAGGGAGGACTGGTGAGCATCACCCTCCTAGCAGACATCAATCAGAGAATCTGCCAGTGCTGCACACCCAGGACCATTCCCAGGAGTCTCCTTGCTGGAAACCATACACATGTACATATACACTCACATATACAAGCACTACAGATATTCCAATGTCCCTCTGCTCCAGGTGCTCTTCCTGAGCATCATCACCTCACCCTGGCCCTCTTGCACCCCAGAACCCTCTGGAATATCCCCAGGGTGGGGATCTGGGTGCCACCCACCCTGTGCCCACTGCAAGTGACCCACTCCCAGGAGAGCTCCAGATCCAATCCTCTCCAAATTTCTCCTTCCTGACATCATTTTTCCAGTGCTCCAGGGAGGAAGGAGCAATGTCAAAACCAACCCAGCCGTGGCCGTGAGCACAGAAAAGCGAGCTGCTCCCTCTCCCAAAATCCTCATGTCCTCTGGCACATGCCTGGGGAAGGGAATGACCCCTTCACCCAGCACAGCCACCCAAGCAGCAAATGGGATCAGGGCTCTTCAAAGCCCCCGCTCCCTTTGATGCTGGGCACGTTACGGGATTAGGCTCAGAGGCCCCATTGGAGCATCAGGAGAAAGGGGGAAAAATAAGATAAAAGCTGCCAAAAGCAGCATGACCCCCCCCCCTCCTCCCTTTCCCCACACACCTGCCTTTTCCAAGGTCATTTCAAGGGGCTGGATATTTGGGGGCTTGGCTTGATGCTGTAAAGCCCTGAGGCTGAGCTGAATTTCCAGTTACATCCTGTTATTTACAGAGGAGGAAGGGAGAAGGAAGAAGAGGAAGGGGGAAGAAAGAGGAGAATGGGGGAAGGGCGCTGCCAGGGAGACCATGAGGGTGACCAACCTCTGAGTCCTGAGGTCAGTCAGCAGTGAAAATGCCCCAAGAACTGGTTTTACAGTTGCTAATTTAAACCCATAGGTTTTCCTCAAAAAATCATCCTCAAATCAGGAACAAATCCATGAGATAGGCAAAAGGCAGCAGCAAAGCCCTGGGAGCATCCCAGGGCAGGAGGATGGAGAGGAGGGGGCTGTTGATTGTTATTTTATTATTTTTAAGGAAAATAATCCCCCAACGAGCTGTTCTGTTCCCACTGCTCCGTGGTTTGCCCCTGTGCTGAGTTTTGGGAGTGGGAGCCACCAGCACCGCGGGTGATTTTCCACCACCCCCGGAATCCAACCGCAGTTACTGGGAAAGGGTCTGGATTGATGGTGCTGTAAAGGAGACAGGAGCTGGCCCTGGCCCAGTGAATTGGAAAGGAAGGAGCCGCCCTGAGAATATTTGCACAGGAAGCAATTTAATCCAGAGACTTGCAAAATCCAGCGAGGAACATCCCCCACTTCCGCAGCCCTGGCTGAGAAACCACCACTTGGGGCTCTGGGGCTCCGACCTCGCGGTGATGGGGAGCACCAGAAAATCCCCATCCCATGGGAACTGCAAGGAATAACGGTGCAGAGCTTGGTAAATGTCTGGTTTTAAATGTGTCCCATCCCCGGGTCAAAGCTGGTCAGGGGATGTGGGGAGAGGAAGAATGTGCTGGGCTTGCTTGCCAAGGGGGAGGGAAACAAATATAGAAGAAAGGGAAGAGAAAGAAAAAGCAGGGGAAAGGGAAAAAAAGAAAAGGGGGGAAGAAAAAATGAAAAGGGGAAAAAGGAAAAAAGAAGGGGGAGAATTAAAAAGAAAAGAAGGAAAGAAAAAAGAAAAGGGGGAAAGAGGGGGAAAAGAAAAAAGAAAAATGGGGAAACAGAAAAAAAGAGGGGAAGGAAAATAGAAAGGTGGAAAAGAAAGAAAAAAGGGAAGGAAGAAGGAAAAAGATGGGTAAAAGAGGATGAAGAAGGGGAAAAAGGGAGGAGGAAGGGAAAAAAGGAAGTGCTGCCCAGCTGCTGGGAGTACCCTCTAAGTGCCCCAAAACAACGTTGACCTCCCTGTGCCCCAGGATTGGGACACGCTCCCACAGGGAAAACAACTGCAACCCCTGACACGACGGAGCAAAACCAGCTTTTACTTTCAGATGTTACAATTTTGATGTTGTTTCTTCTTTCAAATATTTAATATTGGAGCCGTTTGACGGAAATAGCAGGAATTCAGCCAGCTGCTCCCTGACCCTGCTGCCCTGAAGGCAGGGACAAGGCTCCAGCTCTACCAGAGGTTTCCTCCTTCTAAAGCACAAGTTTGTCATCAAAGTTAAACAAGCAACCAAAAAAAAAAAAAAAAAAAAAAAAAAAAAAAAAAAAAAAAAAAAAAAAAAAAAAAAAAAAAAAAAAAAAAAAAAAAAAAAAAAAAAAAAAAAAAAAAAAAAAAAAAAAAAAAAAAAAAAAAAAAAAAAAAAAAAGGGAAAAAGAAAAAAGAAAATTCATCCCATCATGCCTGCGTAAGACCTGCCATGTGGAGGAACCGTCTTTTTAAAGATTAAACACCCCAGCTCCCCCCACATCGCTCCCCACTCCCTCACATCCTGCATCATCTCCGCTCCAGCCAAGTCCAAGCACCACGGGAGCTCCCTGGGGTAGCTGAGAGCTGAACTTCCAGTCAAAAATCTACTTACAAAAAGTAAAATTAAACTCTCTTACAAGTCCCAGTGGGAGCAGAGAAAGACATGGAGCCTAATTCCTATTTTCTCTTTCCTCTCCCAGCTTGCCCAGGCGAGCAGATGCTCAGGCTGCTGAAGCCACAGCACAGCAGGGACACAGTTAACTTGGGGTTCACCGCACCAGGTGACCCCTCACCTTGCAGGGACGGGTCCACGTGGCTGGGGATGAGTGGGATGGAAGCCACCAGCCTCCAAGCTCAGCTCGGAAAACTCTGCTTGTAGCTGGAAAATGCAGGTTTGGGGTCCCAGCAGGGAAAAATGCAACGACATATTGACTGACTGCATTAATTAGTGCACAGTCACCCTTTGGCACAGGGTCACCCCCAGAAACACCACCACAGAGGGGTCTGCTCTCCTTCTTCTCCCTTAATTTGACAGGGTGCAGCATCCTGTGGCTGCAGTGCAGGGAGAGCAGTGGCAGAGCAAGCCCATCCCCATCACAGACACCACTCACGGTGAGAAACCCTCATGCTCAGGGACACACCATGGTCCCTGCTCCTTCCCATGGGACACACTGGCACCCTGGCATCGTCCCCAGCCGAGGGACCCACAGCATCACACCACTGGCACGGGCAAGAGCCGGCAGGTCCTTACCTTGGGCGGGTCGAAGAGCTCCAGCACAAAGCCCTCGGCGTCGGGCAGCCCCGCTCGCCGCAGCGCCAGGCGGCAGCGCTGCCAGCGCGTCCCACTGTCCAGGGAGCTCTCGTCCAGCAGCCCGTACTTGAGGAGTCCCTCCTTGCGCACCTCGGGGGGCTGCTCCCGCGACAGCCCCCACGGCAGGATGCGCTTACCCAGTCCCGGCTTGAGAGCCGCCTCGGCCGCCTCCCCGTCGCCATCCCCGGCCAGGGCGTCCGAGGAGCGGCGTCGGAAGAGGCTGCGCCAGCTCCTGCGCAGCTGGCTGAGCGAGAAGGGTCTCCGCGCCGGCCCCGCCAGCTCCTCCGAGCTCCACGACTTGCGCAGTCCGGACGGGGCAGCCTCAGGGGTTCGGACGGGTTGCTCGGGGCGGGCGCCGGGCTCCGCCTCGGCTTTGGTGGCCACGGTGCCCAAGGAAGCGTCGGTGTGCCGCCGGTGCGTGTCCCGGTAATCCCGCGCTGGGCCGCCGGGTAGGATGCGGAGCTGGTTCATGGCGATGCCCTCCTTCACCTCGTGGCAGAAGTACTGCTGGAAGAGGTCGGTGAACTGCACCGAGAAGTTCTCGGCGGCCAGGAGGTCATGGTGCGGGTGCTCGGTGGCGAAGCGCAGGTAGTGCCGCGCCAGCTCCTTGGCGGTGCTGATGGCGTGCAGCTCGCAGAACTCATGCCAGCCCCGGGGATGCGCTGGCGTGCCGGCCGGCAGCGCCTGCCCATTCATTGCCGTGGCTCCAGCGATGTGGCCGCGCTGCAAGACAGAGCACAGGGGTGGTCAGGGCAGCCCCAGTGTCCCCATGTCTCCTCCAACCCCGCCAGCCCCTGGTTGGTGCGACCATATCCCAATCTGGATGCGTGTCCGTAGCCTGGGACATGCTGTGGGTCCAGTCAAAGCTGCTTCACTCACCTGGGTCACACTGCCCAGGGCCAGCCAGCTCTATAGTGAGCAGCATGGCCATGTGAGCAACCACTATGGCTCGGACCCCGTGACCAGCAGGGGCCATGCAGAACTCCGAGCCCCCATCCCCAAGTGGCAGAGCCGTGCCTCAGTTTCCCCACCTGCGAGGTGGGGTACAGGCAGGTCCCAGTGCGGGGCGTCTGCGTGGCTTCCTGCCAGCACAGCTGCCGGCAGCTGCCCGCCCGCGGGGACGCCTGGCCCGGCCACATCCGCTCTGCTCCTGCCAAGGCTCCGCCGCGCCGATGGGTTTCCCTCCAGGGACCTATTTCAACGGAGCTGATAAAACTGGAGTGGGGGCGGGAGGGGAGGAAACAGCATGAAAAGCTGCAGAAATCCAGCGATGGAGCTGCCTCGCTGCCGGATCCTCCCGGTCCCAGCGGCCTGGGGAGACACGGCCACACCGCCGGCACTGCCCGGGGTGAGCGGGTGTTCCCAGGGGGATGCTCTGTTGCCTGTGGGATCAAGGAGCTGCCAGGCTCTGGCAAACTACACCATATCTCTGCCCCCAGCAGATTTCGATGTGAGGCCAATCTGACGGCACCATGGCTGGCGTGCAGCCGCCCTGGCATGCCCGACTGAGCCCGGCAGTGGTATTCCCCATGGCCGGCCCCGCCGCTTACCACCCAACCTCGTGCTCACCCGTGGCACTTATCGGGGCTGTGCACTCCACTCAGGCAGGAAACATCGGCCAACCCACCCGGATTCTGCTGCGCCAGCACCGGCACCGCCGCCTCCCTGAAACTCCAGCAACAGCACCCTGGCTGCTGGGAGGGGAGGAAAAGTGATTACATTTGTCAGAGGGAGTAAAAATGGGGAAAAAAAACCACCTGAGGGACCAGGAGGAAGCGAGCGGGCGCTGAGGAACGTGCCGGCACAGGGGATGGTGTCTGCAGCCGGGGCAGCGATAACACCGGGAAGCGGGGCTCTATCTCTGCCCACCCGCCACCCTCCCAAGCACGTCCTGCGAAGTTTCTCGGCGAGGGGAGATGTTATCAGTCCCCCACCAGCCTCGCCAGGGCCTGGCTTCTCAGAAGAGCCACCCGAGGCTCGGGGCCGGCCAGCGTTCCCGCAGTGCCGGGCATGCGCCCGCCGCAGCCCAGCCAAATCCCCCGGCAGGGCCCCGTCTATCAGCACCGCCAGCCTGCCGATGACTCAGCATCCTCTGCCGTGCTCCCGCTTCCTCCCGGCACCCAGGAATCGCCGCCACAGCCACCCACGCCGCCGGCACGCTCGGCGGGACGCTCCTGCAAAACGCAGAGGGAAGCGAGGCGCCCATGCGGGTGGCTCATCAGGCAGGTGGGAGATTCCCAGGACAAAGAATTTGTCTTCCAAGTTTTCAGGATCGCTTCGCACCGGCTTTGGGAGAGGTTTGCGGCGTGGGAAAAGCCGGGCTTCGCCTGTGCCACGCGGTGGGAAGCAGTCGAAGGCCGTCTCTGGTGGCAACGTGCTTTTCCAACTCGACGATGGGAAATACTCCCCAGCGCTTCCTCCTCCCAGCACTGGCACAATGCCCACCTCAGTGCTCCTGCCCGGCGCACTTCCCATGTGGAAACAGCTATCCCGGATGAATCCATGCTAGAGTTACCACAGTAGCATCCCGCTCCTCTGCTTGGTTTTGGTAGGACATGTCACAGGGATATGAGTGCCTGCTGATGGATGGGTTTCTCCCTGCTCCAGCCTGTCATGCTCCGCAGTGCCGGAATCCAGCAGCCAGTGGCTTTAAAGCAGATTTTCCATCCACATCCCTCATTCCCTGTATGATGCTACGAGGGGCTTCCATCCACCCCATGGGTCAGCACTGAGACGAAGGACTTGTCACAACAATTAATTGCTTTAATTTGCTCTGAATGGAGAATCCAGCCCACTGTCAGACATACCACAGGCTGGTTGGCATGGGGGGCTACCATCACCCCTAGATGCTGTTGGTGGGTGCTGGAGTTGTTCTGGGGTGTTGGGGTTGTTTTGGGGTGCTGGGCCAGGAGCTCGAGGAAGAGAGGGACGGGACAGACCAGCTGCAGGTGGCTTTGATGCGGGTGGGGCGGCAGGCTGGGGCTTGCGCAGGATCCAACCCAGCCACCCCCAGGAGCTTTCCTTAAACTCTTGCCCAACCTGAGCGTTGCTGCTGCGGCGGCGGGGCCAGGATGGCAATCCACGGCTGGATCCGGCAATGGGTTATTTGTCCCAGTAAATGCATTTGTTGTTTACTTGCAGCCAGAGGAGCCGGCAGCACCGAGCGGTGCCAGGGCAGCGCCGGGAGCCAGTGCCGCAACCCTGCCACCCGCTCCCAGAGGATGAGAATTCAGAGCCAGCTGGCCGGCCTTGCCACGGAGGGGCTGCAGCCATGCGGGAAGGACACCCTCCAGCACCCAGAGCTGCAGATCCGGCCTCGAAGGGACATGTGACGGAGCAGAGAGCGTGTGGCCGTGCCCTGCTCCGAGCGCCGATCCCGCACGTGTGTGCGGGTGGCCCCGGAGCGTGTGCAGCGCGGCCGGCGCCGCGATCCGAAAATGAAACCGGCCCCACTCGCCGCCGCTCTCCATGCCAGGAAAATGCACACCAGCAACGAGAATAGGAAATCAGATTGATGTGCCGGTTCTCCCAGAAATAACTGTTCCCAGCCGGAGGAGAAGCGGTCGGAGGCATTTTCAGCTCCCTTTAGAAGCACGAGGCTATTCAAAGCTCACCCCAAGGACTATTTTGAGGAGAGGGTGAAGCGAGGGGCTGGGAGACGCCCTGGCCGGCCCCGCAGCTCCCCACTTCCCAAGTGGCGGAGAGACAAAGTTCCCACAATCCCAAGAGCAGGGACATTGTTCCTTCCCAGGATGTCCTCCATGAAAAGAGCTATTCTGAGCCGGTTGCAGCCTTTCTTGGCACGGCTCCACAGCCCACTCCGAGGCAGCTATAAAAGGCTGGGTTACAATGAACGGCGCTTTTCAATGGAAGAGCATCCGGCACAAGGGGTTCAGGGGGATGCAGCTCCCTGGGGGGGCTCAGGGGGATGCAGGTCCCTGGGGGGGCTCAGGGGGATGCAGGTCCCTGGGGGGGCTCAGGTCCCTAGGGGATCCAGCCAGCCAAAGGTGGGTTTGCATGGCCTGGATGGTGCAGAGTATTCCCCTGGGATGGGGACGGTGCAGCCCCTCTGTGCATCCCAATCTTCCAAGATCAGGGTGGAGGATGCTGGAGGAACATTTGGATGCACCCCTGGGTTGAGGGGGGCAAGCAGAACACTACAGCCATTTGGGGGTGGACAAGGAGATGCTGCCACTCAGCAAGGCAGGAGGGGCTGGTGCAGGGGGAGAAGTGGGAAAGGATTTGGCTGCAGCCTCTGGATATGGGATACACCCACACATTTACAGCATCACTATATAACTGCCAAGGCCATTTGTGCATCAAGCCAATACAATCCACAGCAGAAACTGCCTGGCACTGTCTTGCTCTTCCCTCTGGGGCAGTCCCCCATGGTGGTGGGGATTCTCTGGGGCCTCATAGAAGGTGATGGCACAGCACCATCACTCCCTGTGACCCGCTGGCTGTTTTCACACAAGCTGGAGGATCCCAGGGAGTCTTGGGACCTTCCCTCTCTCTCCTTTGGCTGAACCAAACCAGCAAGTTCAAAAGCAACAGAGCAGCAGATTGGTGAAATCCCCCAATCCAAAGGTCCATATGCTGTTTTCTTAGGAAATCAGTTTAAAAGCCAGTTTGGGACGTTGGGGATTTTGCTCTCCTTTTTCTCCTTTCTCACAGGACATTCACACCCCTCTCATCTGACCTTCTGGCACCACACAACTTTCTACATTAAAGGCCAAAAGCGGGCTTAATCTGCAGCTCTGCGTGGGCTGAGCAGCACCACAGACCTCTGGGGATGAGTGATGTTATGGCACTTTAAAATCGAAGGGAAATCACCCCTTTGGCTTCTCCTGATCACTCCAGCAGGACAGAGGGGATGGAGACAGCCCATCCCAAACCCATCTCAAGTCAAATACAAGCTCCAAACTGGCTTGGCCCACGAGAGTTCACCAGGACAAGCCGCTGTGGCCAGCCCAGCTCCCCAGAAACCTTCTGTGCCTGCTTCTGCTGAGCGCCCATCCCCGCGGCGTCTGGCACCTCGCAGCCAGGTTTACACCGTCACACTCTCCTACACCCACCGCCTGCGGGGGAAAGCCCGGCAGCAGCGGGGTGGCCTCTTTCGACAGGGCTTGTTTTGTTGCATGGAATGAGTCGCTGCGGTGTGGGCGTGGGAGAAACTGGGTGCAGGGAGCGCTCCCAAGGGAGCAGCCGGCTGGGGGTCGCTGAGGACAGCAGGGAGCAGCTCACCCCCCGGCCAACCCGGCTCTCCTGGCTCGGCACAGCAGTGCCCAAGGGCTGGATTGGGCCCTCTCTCCTTGCCAAGCCGCAGCAGCGCTGCCAGCACCACAAACCCTGCCAGCGCCGAGCTCTTGCACTTTCACTTTGTGTCACCCACTGGGATTTGTCCTGACACCTTCACAGTGTCTGTCCCACGGGTGTGTGGGTGGGGGAGGATTTGCTCTGGGTGAGGATGGAAGATCCCTCAAAAGCCACTAGCACTTGCACCTCAGTCTTTCCAGCCTCATACAGGGGGCTGGTAGACCCTCTTCCTCTCTGGTGAAACCAAACCAGAGCTTTCCACAGACAGTACATTCATAAAGGCAACAGAGACTATAAAAGCAGTATTGGGGTGAGGGAACAGCACAGGGATGAGGCTCTCCTGCCCCAAAACCAAGTTAAAAAGAAATCCAAAACATTGTTCCAGTCCCAAACAAGTCAAAGCGAAACGTTCCACTAATTCCATGGGCCTTTAAACTCCAATTCCATATCCTGCCAGCAAATCCCAATGCAGAGGGGACATGCAGGAGCTGCCAGTGCCAGGTCCCTGTGCTGGCCACCTCTTCCTCTGGCTGCAGCCCCAAAGAGTCCCTGGGCCACCAGCCCACAACTCCAGCACATCTTGAATCAATTTACAACAACAATATTGAAATCGCAGCTCGACAAGTTATCCCGGTTTCCTTGACAGTAAATCCCAGTCCGGGCAGCAATGACCGTGTGATTGCCATGTTGGAGCCAGCGGGTCCGAGCTCTCCGCGGGTGACCCTGATGGGGCTTGGCACCGGGCAGGGCTGTGCACGCCCGCAGGGCACGGAGAGGCCGCAGGGATGCTGACCCCTGGGGCATCGGCCTCGTGCTCCGAGCGCCCGAGCCTGCCAAGCCAAGCGAGCCAATAAAGTCTGCAGGGAGCAGAAACTCAGAGGAGCCGCTTGGCAGGCTCCGGGTGGCACCTCCGCTTGGCACTAGCAGTGGGCACAGGGGCAGAGGAGAAGGGGGCAGCTAGGCAGGCAAGGCATGGCCCCCTCGGGCAGGGCAGCGCCCCACAGCAGCGGCTGGGGCAGGTGGGCATCACCCCACGGGGGTTCTGCACCCTCTGAGAGAAGTCACCCTCATGGCAGGGGCTGTGGGGGTCCATGGGGAGGCGGAGGAGAGGGGCAGCGCTGGTTCATTGCATGCTACACCCCTGGATCAGAGGTCCCCAGGACAGGGATGCTGGGAAATGGGGGACCTTGAGGGATCCCAGAAGCTGGGGTGCTCTGTGGTAACGTGGTGCTAGAAAGATGGGGGTCCTCAGGACTGGGGCACCCACAGAGGAACAGAACTCCCGGAACAGGGAGTGCCCACGGGAAAAACGGGTGCTGGGAGGCCAGGGGTCCCCGAGGGTGAGAGCAGCCCCTGGAAAGAGGGAGCCCGAGGAAAGGGCAGGAATAAGAGTGGTTTCCCGCAGAAACGGGATGCCGGTGAGAGGGACGGGGGGAAGGTATCAGAGGGTCGGGAGTTGACAGAGAAGGGGAATCACGACCCCGGAACAGGGGCACCGGAGCTCCGCGGAGGGAGAGGATCCAACCTGGGGCCACCGGGATGGCTCCGGAGGCTGTGCAGGAGGAGCGGCCGCCGCGCTGCCTCCCCCCTCTGCTACTTTCGCTTTTCAGCGGCCGCTTCCCGTCCCGGTCCAGCCCAGCCCAGCCCGTCCCGGTCCGTCTGGTCCAGCCCAGCCCAGCCCGTCCCGGTCCCGCGATTACCTGCACGAGAAGGCGTCCGGCTGCCGCTCGCCCATGGTGGAGCGGCGGAGCGCCCGGGACGGGACGGGCGGGACGGGGCGCACGGCTCGGTACGGCTGGGCTCGGCACGGCTCAGCTCGGCTCGGCACGGCACGGCACGGCTCTGCTCAGGCAGGAAACCAGGGCAGGCGGCTCTGCATTTCCGCCGGGCGGAGGCGCGGGGCGCGGACCCCGGCCCCGGACGGGTTATGTAAAGCGGAGCGGCGCGGCCGGGGGTGGAGGCTGCGCGGGGGCGGAGGGGAGGGGCCGCCCCGTCCGTCCGTCCGCCTGCCTCTCTGTCCGTGTGTCTCTCTGTCTGTCCGTGTGACTGTCCGGCTGCCCGTGTGACTGTCCGTGTGTCTGTCTGTCCGTCCGTCCGTGGGTGCGCACGGCTCCGCGCGGCTCCGCGCCGCCCCTCCCCGCCGCCGCCTTTATCTTATCGCATCCGCGCCCGCGGAGGCAGCGGCACAAACAGCTCGCACCGCGCTCCCAGGGTGGATTTATTTTTCATTTATGTGTGTGTGTATATATATATATATTTATATATATATTAGTTTTTATAACTTTTTAAATCTTTTCTCTCTGTGGATTTGGGGATGTCTGCCCTGGCACCCCCGGTCCCAGCCCCCCAGGAGTCGGGAGGGAGCCCGAGCGTGGGGTCTCCTGGCGGCTCGGGAGTGGTGTGTGCAGGAAAACACCCCACTTTCCTGTTCCTGCCTGGCTGTGTCCTCCCACGGCTCCGCGGGCTGGGACCCAAGGGACCTCTGCGGTGGTAGCAGTGGGCCAGGCACTGTCTCAAACCCCATTTCCCATCATTTTCCAAATTATCTCTTGCGGCAAAAGGCACCGCGGGGCACTGCCCACGTCCAGCTGGAGCAGGTCAGGACACAGGGCCCACAGTTGTCCCACACCGTGGGCGGGGGTTCGTCTGTGACCGAGCTGTCCCTTTGGTCCCAGGCAGGGCTGGGGACTGGTGTGGGTGGACACGGGTCAGGCTCAGCCATCCTGGTGCCATCCTGGTGCCATCTTGTCCCAGGGGAGCAGAGGCCCCATGGCAGAGATGCAGCGGCCCACTCTGCCATGGGAAATGGGAGGAAAACAAACTTCCACTGCACCTTTTTCCAGGAAAGGGCTGGATTGTGGCCTGTACCGTCACGTCTGGCCCATTGAGAGCTCCCACCCGTGTCACCAGTTGTTGAACTCCTCTGTGGCCTCATCCTTGTGGAATGGCAGCAGTGCCAGGGACAGAGGAGCTCTCTTTGCCCCACAGACCCCCACACAGGGCATGTAAAAGTCACAGCAGAGCAGCCCTGCCTGGGGCTGGTGCCCATCCAAGCCAAGAAAAACCCAGGGATGTGGCTGCTGGGATTTTACAAACACCACACAATAGATTTGTGGGTGTTGGGAATGTGGAAACTGTGGGAATTTTGCCCTTGGAGAGCAGGTTGAGGCACAGTGAGCTGCTTGTGAACAAGCACGTGTGCCACCCCCAGTGGGTCCATCCTCAGCGATGCTTTAAAATACACCTCAGTCATTCACCCCATCCACTCCCAATCCACCTCCTTCCAAGGAGGGACTGAAATGGGAACTCTCTGATGGTGTTGTGCCACCCCTGGGCCACGGACAGTATGGACGCAGGCCTGCTGCCCCCCTCCAGCCTCACCAAACCCCTCAAATCGAATCGGATTTGAGACGTAACCCCACAGAACCCTTGGGCATCGCCTGCTCCAGGGATCCAGGAGACTGCATCCAAACCAGCCCTTCCCAAACCCCACAGCGAAGTGTCTGGGAGCAGCTGACATGATAAGATCTTACCTTAAAAGCTGCTTTTTAATTCCTCCTGCCGTTGCTTTACGCATAATTACACCTTCTGGCTCTTTTCCCGAGGACGGAGGAGCGGTGGGAGCGTTCGGGTGCCTGCCCTCCCTCCCACGGGCGGCTGTCCCAGCTCCCAGCGATCACACTTTCCTTTATCAACTTCATCTATGTCAGAAGCGCCCTCTCAGCGTCCTCAGCCCCAGTGGCCCGAGATTTCTTTGTTGTTTTGCTTCCTGTATGGATTTTCTACTGTCCCCAACCGCTAATTCAGTGTCCCGACTTCTGCTTTTTCTGTTCCTGTATGTGGAACTGCACAGATGCCCTTGCACACACACACACTGCTGCTTCCCTTCTGCTCTGCCCTACCCTCAGCTTTTAACCATTGCTGCTTTCTTCTCCTGTAAAACCCTTTATTCGGCTTCCAACAGTCCTTCCCACCTCCCTCTTTAATTCCCGTGCTCTGCCCATTCCACTTTCAGAATGCATGGAGTGGTTTGGAAGTGGTACATCTGCATTTCTACAGTTGGGATGTGATGGGTTTCAGGTGAGCTCTGCCATTCCACAATGAGATGAATGTTCCCCCCAGCCCGCTGAGAGACGCTCTGGGGGTGACTTCTGGAAGTGCTTGGCTGTGGGTATCTGTGCTGAGCTGGCAATGCCTCCCGAAAATCTTAGCCTGGCTTTTATGTGCCCATTCAGAGGGCTGTGTGGGGATGGAGGTGGTAATGGAGAGTGTGATTGAGAGGTGATGGGGTGATTATGGGCTTGGTGGTGACGGGGAGGAGGGTCAGGGTGGTGCTGGAGGTCGCAGTGGGGGAGGTGATGGGCTGGGTAGTGATAGTGGGTGATGGAGGGGGTGATGGGGGCTGCCCCCGGGCTGGGTGCCCCATCTTCCCCACCGAGCCCCGCAGTGCTCCCGCCGCCGTGGCCGGGCTCCCGCCGCCCTCTCCCGGCCCTTCGCAGCGCTGCAGCCGCCGCCTCCGGCCCTTCCCCACCCGGCTCCTCCTGCCACGACTTGTTCGCCTTGAACCCCAGAGCACGGCTTGGGGTCCACCTGGGGTCCCCGGGGACCATTCGCTGCCCGTCACGATGGATACCTGCACTCCTCCTCCCCCGTGTGCACCGGGCATCCAGCAGCCCCTTGGGGCCCCCTGGCACCCCAAGATTTCCAGCTCTGGGGGTGACTCAGAGCTCCCGCTCACCTCGCTGAGCCGTCCAGCACCCGCCGCTGCGTAACCACACCAAGTCACCGGTCATGGGAGCAGCAGGAAGCAGAGGCCAAGGGCACCCCACGGCCAGAAATGCTCCTGGCACCCCCTGGCCTCCTTTCAGACCCCTTTCTTCTCCCTTTTCCCTGCTGTCGGGCAAGCTCAGCATGGGAATTCGTTTTCCCATCTTTCTCATCAAGCCTAGGCAGGGGAAACTGAGGCGCAGGCTCTGGGTGCCTTGCTGGGACAACAGGGAAAATATGGAGCTGCTCAGAAGGGGAAGTGCTGGAGCTTGTGCAGCAACACGCGACTGTCCCAAGGGAGACTCAGCCGGAAGCAAGAACCCACAGGGGAATTTTGTAGGTGCTTTTTGAGGAATTAGGACGATTGTCCAAAGCAGCTTCCACGGGGCTCCTTAGGAAGTAGCTGGAGGAGGAGGAACAACCATTGGAATAACCTCTGCTGAAGTGGCTGGTGGGGCTGCAAGAAGTAAATGTGGTTTTGGAGTCCCAGGAAAGAAAAGTAGAGCTGGGAGCACAGTTGCCTTTTTCCAATTACCCCAGCTGCTCTAATATAGATATTGCTTCTCCCCACGGTCCTTCCCCTTCTAATCTTGCTAAGTGAAAAGGCATCTCTCAGCAAGGCAGGGAGATAAGTGGTGCAGAGACCTGAGACTTCCCACCAGCGACCTTGAACAGAGCTGCTGTGCTCAGGAGGGAAGATAAAGCCCTGATGGTTTTAGTGCTGGTTTAAATCCCTTTTAATAGCCTGAAAGTGAAAGTCTGCAGGTGATAGGGAAAACCCTTGGTGAACTGAAAGCCTTTGACACAAGCAGAAGATTGCAAACCCCTGAGCAGCTGTGTAGGGAGGTGGGGGCATTTGAGGGGAGAGTGGTGAGGAACACAACCTGTGGCAGAGGTCACCAACAGCAGGGTTTCTGGGATGGGGACCTGTAAAATGGTCGCCAGCGGCAGGATTGCTAAAATATACACATGGCCATGGAGCAGAGCAGGAGGATGAAGAAACTGGAGGAAAGGGACAGTGATAAGGAGAGCAAATCCTTGACTCTGGTGTTTACTGGGACGTGGTAAGGACAGCAGCACTGCCAAGGTGGTTCTCGGGTTGGTGACACTTTCAGCCTGGAAGGCCAACCAAGAGCAGAAGTCAGACTGGAGGTTTCTCCCAGCCAGAAGGTTTATGGTTGTCCTGGGACATGGGTACCAGCAACGGGAGATCCAGCCCTGGCCCCAGCACTCGGCACGGCTGGACTCGCTCACCCCTGGCCCGGATGGGGCAAGTGCTGGCCACCCCTCCGAGGGTGCATCGGCGGCTCCAGCGCCTTGTGGTGCCCGTGGGCAGGAAGGAGCAAGGGGGCTGTGGGTTGCACAACACCCAGCAGCTTCAGTGCCCAGCTCATCACTCCCTGCTCCTTGTGCCAGCTGTCACCTGCCACCGGATGCCATCCAGCCCACTCACTTCCTCTACACTAAGGCACCCTCGCTTGGCTTTGGCCCAGCTTCTCCCAAGGATATGTTTGGAAGCTCTGGAGAGTAGACAGGACTTGAAGCCTGGTCCCCCTGAAGCATCTCCCACCCACGCAGGACCCTGCCCTGCTGCCTTCACCTCCAACCCTCCTTGTGGATTTGCACCGTCCAGCTCATCCACTGACCTCTGCTGTTCCCTGTCAGGTGCTCCTGGGATTTCAATTCTTTGCCCCAAAATCTGATAAAAAATTCAATGTGCAGCCACTCTCAGCACTAAACACCTGGGCTTCCCACCCATGAGCATACACACATGTACACTCTGTGTACGTCCATGTGTATATCCATGCCTACATTCCACAGGTACATCCATGCATACATCCCTGGATGTGCCTCTCCCCCGCACACCTCGATACGTGCATTCCTCTATCCCGCATTCCTCTATCTCTCCCCTTTGCGCGGAACTGTGACCGGCCGAGGGTCGAGCCAGGATCTCCCAGCCCCGGGGCCGGGCTCCGGAGCGGTTTTCCAGCTCCTCCTCCCGCCCGCGGGCCGCGCGGGGCAGCGGAGATGGGCGGTGGAGGAGGCGGGCGGGAGCAGCGCTCCGCCCGGGGGCCGGGCCGGGCCGGCGGGAGCCGAGGACAAAGGTGACCGTGCGGGAGCAGGAGAGGGGCCTCAAAGCCCCTTTGCACCGTCCGACCTCGGGTCCAGCGCTCCCACGGCCGCCACGGCCACCCGCGCCTCGCTGATGCTGGTGACCGCCGGAGAGCCGAGGTAGAGGCAGAGTCCAGGTGGGTGGAAAGCCTGGCACGGCGAGGCCACGGGAGATCAGGGGACAAGGGGAGCGGTGGCCTCGCCCGGGTGACAGGGTTCATGGTCACGGCTCTCTGGAGCCGCAGCCGGATCCGCGGCGCCGGCCGAAACCCTCCCTGCGCGCCGTGGGGAGGAGCGGAGCCACACGGCAAACACGGCGCCGGCGGGAAGGTCACCTGTGCCAGGTGACGTGGGCACCGGGGCAAGGCCTGCCTGGGGCTCCTCTGCGGGAAAACACTCTAGTGGGGAGGGAAACCTCCTCCCCAGCGAGCCCCAAGCAGCCACAGCCCACCCAGCGCTCGCTGGACACACCACCTTGGCTGGGGGCGGTGTTATCCCAAGTATCCCAGGGTTGTTTATTCACCACCTCCACTTCCTGGTCGTCGGGTCTGGCGCCACCGGGAACAAAAAGCCGATGGTTTATTCCCATGCGATTAAGGCGCAGCCGCCCCGCGTGCGGGCGGGCGCTGAGTATCCTCTGTCCCCGCAGGGCGCGGAGCCATGAAGCTGAACGAGCGGAGCCTGGCCTTCTATGCCACCTGCGACTCCCCGGCCGACAACTCCGGCTTCCTCTACAAGCGCGGCGAGCGGCACACGGCGTATCACCGCCGCTGGTTCGTGCTCAAGGGCAACATGCTCTTCTACTTTGAGGAGCGGGAGAGCCGGGAGCCGGTGGGCGTCATCGTGCTGGAGGGCTGCAACGTGGAGCTCTGCGATTCAGCTGAGAGTTTTGCCTTCGCCATCCGCTTCGGCGGCAACAAATCCCGCACCTACGTGCTGGCGGCCGAGAGCCAGGCGGCCATGGAGTCGTGGGTGAAGTCGCTGTCCCGAGCCAGCTTCGACTACATGCGGCTGGTGGTGCGGGAGCTGGAGAAGCAGCTGGAGGAGATGCGCTGGGGGCCGGCTGGCGGATGTGGGGCCTCCCGGGAGCATCCCGGCTCCTGGAAGCTGAAGCAGTGCCCAGAGCGGCTGCTGGCTCTGCCCGCCATCCTGCCGAAGGAAAACGGCTGCGCGGTGTGGAACAACGCCTTGGGAGTGGGCCAGCCACCGGACACCTCTGGCTGTGGTGGGAACGATGACGAGGGGACCCCGCGGCCACCACCGCTGCCACCGCGCAGGCGGATGTTGAACGGCGAGGCCGCGGTGGAGAGCCCATCCACCTTCTGCCAGCTCCACGAGCGGTACAGCCAGGAGGTGGCCCGGCTGCGGCAGGACTGGCAGGAGAAGCAGCGTGGCCCCCGGCCCTGAGCATTGGGCAAGCCCTGGGAACCCACAAGGACCTGTGGCAGGGTGGAGGTGGTCATTCTTGGTGCTGCCCCTCCTCGTCCTGGGATGTGCAGCCTTGTCTGTGGTGGTGATGGACACCTTGATGGTGCCAGTGAGGGCCCAGCATCAAGTGCTGCTCCATGATGATGAAATGGGCATCTCAGGCCAGGCAAGGGTGTACCCTCCAGTCACACCCAGATGTGGCTGCAGGGTGGCCCACTCAGGACAAGCAAGCAATGAACCCCTCACTGATGCCTCCTGGGAATCGACTCTTGCTCTGGGTCTGGTGGGACCTACTGATGCTCTTGCAGTGTGATCATGCATTGACAATACTTTGGGAGGAGGATTTTGATGGGATCTCGCCTGCCTGAGCGCCTGTGTGGGTGTTTCACAGATGGAGAGCCTGCTACCGACTTCCCCTCCCTGCCCAACACAAGGCTGAGGTCAGC